CCCTGATTTAACTATAAAAATACCAGACAGTTCTGCATATTGTCAAAGCAAGAATATACAGTATTTGCAGCGTTGACAGCTTGTTTGTGCGGACCGGTTGCTGGCAAGGTACCGGTCCACGGACCAGGGGTTGGGGACCCCTGCTCTAAAAGAATGCAAATGACCAGCTGTCTGCAAGGAGTATAAATCCTTCCACTCCCCCCCATCCAGTCAGAGCTGAAGAAGCTTCTTGGATGAGAAGTGAAACAAGAAAACAAGGAAATTGTTTTTCAGCTGCCTGCTGAAAAAAGCACCTTTGAATTTTAGGAGCCTTCCCACGTTTTACCTCCAGAATATCCGAGTTGGTTCGACTCTCGTGGGGTTCGCTGTACTCCGTGTACTTCAAGAGAACCTTGTCCATGTCCGTGCTGGCATACTGGAAGAGCCGGTTGGTGCTGTTGAAAATGATCAGGGCGATCTCACAGTCACACAGGACGCTGAGCTCGTAGGCCTTTTTCATCAACCCAAACTTCCTCTTGGTGAACGTGACCTAACACAGGGCAGGGGAAACAAAATACAGGCAGTCCTTAACAACCACAATCGAGCCCAATCCGTCGCTAAGCAAGACATTTGTCAAGTGGCCCCATTTTACGACCCTTCTTGCCACAGTTGTTAAGTGAATCACTGCGGTTGTTAAGTTAGTAACACGGTTATGAGGGAAATCTGGCTTCCCCGTTGACTTTGCTTGGCAGAAGGTCGCAAAAGGGGATCACGTGACCCCCCCCGGGACACTGCGACCGTCATAAACGTGAATCAGTGGCCAAGCCTCTCAGTTTTGATCACAAGACCATGGGGACGCCACAACAGTCAGTAAGTGTGAAAAACAATTGTAACTATCACTTGTAACTTTGAAAGGTCACTAAATGAACTGTTGTAAGTTGAGGTCTAACCTGTAAGAAATGGGGCAGATTTGGCCAACTTGCAACTGGGGCCAGGAATTTAAAGTCTAAAGAATCATCTGGCACTCAGTTTCTGTCAACACAAAGGTGTTACTCCAGGGGTCTTCAAACTTGGCCCTTTTATGACTTGGGGACTTCAACTCCCAGAATTCCTCAGCCAGGCATGCGTGCCTGGCTGAGGAATTCTGGGAGTTGAAGTCCCCAAGTCATAAAAGGGCCAAGTTTGAAGGCCCCTGTGTTACTTCCTCCTTAAGCCCCCCGTAATGCTATTCAGGTCCTTCTTTTCTCGCTCTTTCTTTGCTTCAAAACGTTTTGGGCCTGCATTTCTCAACCGTGCAGCTAAGCTGGGCAAACTGATGGTTGTTGACTCTGGTTCATGAGTTAACTCCCAAAGACAAGTGACTTTGAGAACTGAAAAGGGTGTAGACTGAGGTATGTCTCATTTTATCCCCAAACAATCCTGTGAGAAGCCTGGATTAAGAAAAAAAAGTATTATCCAAAGTCACTTAATAATGTTTCTGGCTAAGTGGGTGGAGAGCACGGTCCCTTTAACAAGTGTAATGAGTCAGCAAGTTTTTAAACCTTTTCTTCTCTGATAAGCTCCTTTTTCTTCTTTTTTATCTTTCCTCTCTTCCCTTTTTCCTTTTCTTTCTTTCTTTCTTCCTTCCCTTCCCTTCTTTTCCTCCTTCCTTCCCTTCTTTCCTTTTTCCTTCCCTTCTTTCCTTTTTCCTTCCCCTTCCTTCCTTCCTTCCTTCTTTCCTCCCTCCCACCCTTCTTTCCTTCCTTCCTTCCTTCCTTCCTCCCTCCTCCTTCCCTCCCTCCCTCCTTCCTTCCTTCCTTCCTTCCTTCCTTCCTTCCTTCCTTCCTTCCTTCCTTCCTTCCTTCCTTCCAGATAGTGCTCAACTTACAGCCCTATGACTTTTAAAATGGCTACTTCAATTTAAAAAGTCTCTCCAGGTTGGCTAGAGATGATGGGAGCTGTAGTCCATAGCAGAAAAATCTGGTCAGAAGTCCATCTGATTGCCAGTCCACTTCTGCTTAAGAGGTACTTACCTGCCGGTTCCGTTGGTCCAAGATTCGGCTAATCTGTATCTTTTTTCGGCCCATTGCAGTCCGGGGGATGAAAGAGCTTTGATAAGATGAAGAAAAAAAAAGGTATGTTATTTGTGTATTCAGGAGTTTTTACCCTGGCAGAACCTGATTTGAATTGAGAGTTGAATCTAATTCCAAACCAGCTTAATCATCACAGCTCCTGCTCTGTGAAACTGGAGATTTTTTAGTTTTTATGGAAATCCAAGGGATATTTTTAGCTGTCGCATGAACTACTTGATCCTACAAGGGGGAGAAACGAGTCACGTAGCAACCAAGTCCATTTCAAATCACTTTAAAACCATGATGGCAAAGTTAGTCTGTAACCTGGGATTATTCCAACTCTGGAGTAATTAACCTCCTCTTTCTGACCTGCTGCCCACAATAAGCCTCAGAATCAGCAACAGTCAGTTTTTCCACTCCCCTGCCATTATTAAGACATGATTTCAGTGTGCTGCGTTAAAATAAGCGAGCACATAAAGGAATTTTTAAAAAGGACTACTTTAGAAAGCTGGCCACTGGCATGTACTTATGACAGCTGCCCTGCCCCAGGGTCACGTGATCATCACTTGTAACCTTCCCAGCTGGCTTCCGACAAGCAAAGTCAATGGGGGGGGGGGAAGCCAGGTTCGCTTAACAACTGCATGATTCGCTTAACAACGGCAATGGTTCATTGAACAACTGTGGCAAACAAGGTTGTGAAATGGGGCGAAACTCACTTAACAGCTGCCTTGTTTAGCAATGGGCACAATTGTGGTCACACGTCAAGGACTACCTTTACACTCTAAATATTATTATACAGGTAGTTCTCAACTTACAACAGTTCATTTAGTGACCATTCAAAGTTACCACGGCACTGAAAAAAGTGACGTATGACCGTTTTTCACACTTACGACCATTGCAGCATCCCCCAGGATCCCATGCTCAAAACCACTTGCTTGGCAAGTGGTTCATATTTACGACGGTTGCAGTGATTAAAATTTGGATGCTTGGCAACTGGTTCCTATTTATGACTGTGCCCCAAGGTCATGGGGTTTCCCTTTTGCAACCTTCTGACAAGCAAAGTCAATGGGGAAGCTGGATTCACTTAACGACCGTTAACAACTGCAGCAATTCACTTAAAAATATATCACAAGAAAAGTTGTAAAATGGGGCAAAACTCACTGAACAAATGTCTCACTTAACAACAGAAATCTCGGGCTCAGTTGTGGCCGTAAGACGAGGACTGCCCCTATGACACTTTCGGCATCTAAGGATCCAGCCATTAACGGCACCGCGGAGAATCTGAAATCGGTTATTGTCGGTTTCAAGGAGCTTTCCATTCACGTTGGTGAATTCCAAGCGCTAGTATTTTTCATTTCCCTGCCCTGCTGTTGGCTCTCTTATCTTCTGCCTCTTAAGCATCTCGGATTATATTTAGCTGATCAGAACTAATTTTAAAGAGATGGAAGGAAACGGTGACCAACTTCCCATGACCCCAATGCGGAGGGCTTAATGTGTCATCACCCACGCAGGGCACCAATAGGTGCATTCAGCGAGATGTTTGTCCGAGGACCGTGATGGGAAGGGGAAATTGAAAAGAAAAAATCCCATGGGGAAGCCCCTTCCCTTCCCTCCCCCCCATCTGTTTCCAGACAAGAAAACATTTTATTTGCAAAAGGCAACCATCTCAGTTCGTTAGAAGCACTGACAGTGATTTACAGACAGGGCAGATTAGAGACTAGCAATAAGGACCGACAATTTCACGCTGGTATAGTTTTTGGCTGCCTCAAAAAAAAAAAGGCTGCATAAGTGTTTGTGTCTCTTTTTAAAAAAAAAAATGCACTTCCCCCCCCATGTTTTGCTTATTTATTTTTTTGTTGTTTTAGTAAAAAAAAAAATTCTCTTTTTTTCTTTTTTTTTTCTTTTGGAGTTTTGTATTTTAACTTTTTGAATAAATATAAAGCGTTAACAGCAAAAAAGAACTACGGGCAGTCCTCGAATTACAACATTTCGCTTAGTGGCCATTTGAAGTGACAACGGCACTGAAAAAAGTGACACGACCGTTTTTCACACTTATGACCGTTGCAGCATCCCCACGGTCACGTGATCAAAATTCAGTTGCTTGGCAACCGGTTCAGATTTCTGACGGCTGCAGTGTCCCAGGGGGTCACGTGATCACCTTTTGCAACCTTTGATAAGCAAAGCCAGATTCACTTAACAATTGTGTTACTAACTTAACGGCAATGGTTCACTTAACAGTTGTGGCAAGAAAGGTGATAAAATGGGGCAAAATTCACTTAACACGTCTCACTTAACAACAGTCAAGGATTACCTGTATTTGCTACATTTAGCTTTAGCTAGAATGAGTTGTTAAAATAAATGTTAAACACTGTCCAGACAGCAAAAAGAAAAAGTTGGAAAACACTTCACCTCAATATCAGAAAAAGGCCTTTGGTTGCTTTTTATTTTTCTGGCATCTTATTTAAGGAAATTGAAATAAACTTTGGGTCTCTCCATTGCTTTAAACAACAGAATTACACCTTGGCAGGCCAGCGTTCTAAGCTTGGAAACCTGGACTGATTAGGGTTTAATTAGGTTTGTTTTAAGGGGGTGAGTTTTAATGTTATTAATTTATTATATTAGATAATTATCCCGCCTTTATTACTTTGTATGTCGCTCAAGACTGTGAATATACATAATACAGGTAATCCTGAGGGCCTGGAAATGAAAAAGGACACATTGCATACATGACTTGGGATCGGTTTTGGAAGGAGATCTGAGAAACTTCTATTTTTTTAGAAAGAAATCCTTGTGATAAGCCTACTTTATAAGAATTATGCTATAATTATTTTGTTCCTTTTCTTTTTTAAATGTGACCTTCCTTCCTTCCTTCCTTCCTTCCTTCCTTCCTTCCTTCCTTCCTTCTTTCTCTTCCTTCCTTCCTTCCTTCCTTCCTTCCTTTCTTTCTCTTTCTTATAAACAAACACAAAAGACAACACGAGAAAAGGATAAAAAAAATGCAACTAAATAAATCAGGGATTTAAAAGCATCCTGGAGACTACGGCCTTCTAAAATATAAATTATTATAAGCAGTTGAATATGTCACTTAAAGGGATTAAGAATCACTACAAACATAAGCTACAAATATTTAACAATGACCGTGCACAACCACTGAATAGAATTGAGCACTATAGTAAGTTCAGTCTTAATTACTAAGAATCGATTCCGAGTTAGCTATCTTATAAAATTGAAATACATGTTGCAATTTTCAAGTGTTTCTCAAGAGCGGTGTTTCTCATCCTTGGCAGCCTTCGGTTGTGTGGACTTCAACTCCACACACTGAAGTTGAAGTCCATACATCTGAAAATGAGAAACACTGCCCAACATTACCAGAACTGCAAAAGCTGACCAACAGATGGCAGCAAAAAAGATAAGGAAAATCCTATCTTTCTGCTTCCATCTAGTGGTTGTCTACCTTTTTGCAGCCTATATCTCGTGGTCCTAGTTCAGGGGTAGGCAACCTTGTCTCTTTTATGACTCGTGGACTTCAACTCCCAGAATTCCTGAGCCAGCCATGCTGAGGGGAAAGGGAGAGTTTCCAAGCTGAGCCATGCTGGCTCAGGAATTCTGGGAGTTGAAGTCCACGAGTCATAAAAGAGACAAGGTTGCCTACCCCTGTCCTAGTTTCTCCCTAAAATGAAGAGTCCGGCTGTCCTTTTTCAGCAATCCAGATCAGCAAAACAGAACCTGAGAACCACATGCATCCCTGAGGTCACAAATCACCCATTCTTGCCCCAAACAAAAGCCACACACCTACACACTTTAGTGTCCACAAAAGAAGGAAGAAAAGGAGTGTCAGCTGTTCTGCTTTTAAACCAAGGCTGTCTGAAAACAGAGGAAGAGGGCAAGGAGGGTCTCTATCAAAATATTTCAAAAAGCTAAGGAATAAACCAATCAAACGAAGGTATCAAAAAGGTGAACCTAAGTTTGCTGTCGCTTAGCAGAATACAGCTCTAGCTCCAGTCTGTACCTGGCTGGCCACTAGAAAGACAGTACTGGGTAGAGACCTGATTGGTTGGCAAAGCTTATGTAAAAAGATCTACAGGTTTCATCAGCCAGGTCTTCCCTAGAAAGCTCATTAAGGGAAACCGGAAAGCAGTGTCAATTTCTCATCTGCAAGGGCTAATTATGGAATAAAAATCAATATTATAGATTTTAATGGATCCAGCATCCCAGCTCCAAACAAGGAGCATGCCGTATTTTCCCAGATATAGAGTTTGGCTTTCAGACAATTTTTATAAGAAGATATAAAACAGTTAGGTTTCCAATCTTTCGGATGCTAAAAGAGGGAGCTGTGCAATCTGAATCAAGACTGGTTTTGGGATCCTTTGGAAAGCTAACTTCCTTCAAATCTGTACTCCACTTTGGAACTGGAGGTTCTTATGCTGGGTGAGGCTGATTCTGCATGGCGAGATCCTCAATATTCCTATTAAAACCATTCATACTTGCACCCAAATATCCTCCTTGTTGGTATAATATTTGCAATCACAACCGAGACCTGAATTTCTCTTGCTAAGCAAGGTGGCTAAGTGAGCCACACCCGATATTTACGACCTTTTCTTTGCCACAATTGTTAAGTGAATCACTGCAGTTGTTAAGTGAATCATGCAATCATTAAACTAATACAACTTTGCTTGGTGGAAGCTGGTTGGGAAGGTTGCAAATGGCTATCACGTGACCCCTGGGTGCGTGCAGTTGTCATAAATACATTCCAGTTGCCAACCATATCAATTTAGATCACATAACTGCGACAGTCCTTAAGTGTGAGAAATGGTTGTAAGCAGTGGTGGGATTCAGCAGGTTCGCACCATTTCAGCAGAACCGGTAGCTAATTTTTCATTGCCCAGGCCCAGAACGGACTTCCGGAAGCGGCATCCACACAGAGAACCAGTTGTTCGCATATTAGAATCCCACCACTGGTTGGAAGTCTCCCTTTTCAATGCTGTTGTAACTCTGAATCCTCACTAAATACATGG